GGGGGGGGGGGGGTTCAGTTTTTGTGACCTGCCCAAACCTTCCCTCCTCCTCTGTGATCTGTCCCAAACTGACCAGGCCTTTTGGGGGCAGTTGAATGATGCAAGCATTCATTTGGACTGAAATCAACCCCCCTTTCCTTGATTCCCTGTGTTGCCACGTGAAGCAGCCCTGGACTAGAGCAGTGCTTGGGTACTCCTGGGTTGAGCTGGATTTGAACCCTTGAAATGTGAACCCTCTGTCCCTTTGAAATGTGTGTGATGGAGGGCAGGAAAGATTTGAAAAGAAAAAAAAAAGAAAAAAAAGAAATGCCTTGAAGCTGGAGCATCCTCAGTTTTGTAGCGCCTTAGGGAAAAGGGTCCAATATGGCTCCAATAGCACCTAGGTTTGGAAACACAGCAATGGGCCTAGTGGTTATTGCACCCTGGCCCTAAGGGGCTTCCATTAGGAGCTGAAGGAGGGCAGCAGAAACCCATGCGGGCCCAGAAACAAGCCCTTAATGGGCTGTACTGTAAACACCACCTGAGTCAGAGGTGTTGCATGGGGTCCTGTCTGAACACCTCCAGCACTTCCACTTGGCTGCTCCCACACTGGCCTTCCAGAGCTGAACAGGTAAAGGGTCTTTTGCTGTCAGGGCCCTGCCATCAGCATTAGGAGGTGCATGGCACTTACTCAGCACAGAAGCAGCCACCAAAGCATAGTGGTTAGGGGAGCCCTGGATGGGGGCCAGGCTCACAGTGCACTGGTCTTGGCTTTGGTTGAAGGTGGGCTTCAGTGCTTTGCAGATTATGTCGTACAGCTCCTTGCTCTGCTTGGTTTGCTCCACCACACCCTGCAGGGACAGAAAGCACATGCATGGATGGCAGCTCCCTCCTTCCAGACAGTTTCCTGGCCCCATGCACAAGGGCTGCTGGACACCTAACTCTAACAAGTCATGCTGTCTCTCTCAGGCACTTGACGGCCCGAGCATCTCATGCTCCCTGCTGCACAGAGCCACGCAACACCCCTCCGATATGAGGCGCGTGGCAGAAGGGAGGCTGAGGCTGAGTGCTGGCTGCAGTTAGCCATAGCAAGGCAGGAAATAAAACCAGGTTTCTCCTCTGGTTCCTCAACAGTAAAGCGTTGCCTCCGCTTTAGCCCCTCCAAAGGCCCAAGTCAGCTATGTCCTGGTAACGCAGAGCAAGGTTGTCCCAAGAACCAGGGGGGGAACGTTTCAGCCACCTGCTCCAGCTCCTACAAAGCAAGGCTGTGGCTTTGCCCTAGGCATAGCACTCATTCTCTCTGCTAGGCTCGGGGGCGAATGAGTGCCAGCAAGCACCGATGCACCTTTCCTCAGTGCTGGATGCCCTTACCACACCCCTGAGTGATGGGGACGAGGGTGGGAGCGGGAAGGAGCCCGTTATCTTCATTCCCGGCAGCAGGTTCCACAACCTCTGCTCTCCCTCCGCGCGGCCACCGCATCTGCAGGCCAGGAAGCATTTAAAAGTAGTTTATTTATTACGAGCCAAATCCGCTTGGCCTGTGCTGTGTGCCAGGGCACTGCCGTCCTTATCTGAGGGCCGCAGCTTTTGGAGTTACAGGAATAGCATCTCCCCGGGGGAACAGTGGGAACGGGGGGGGGGGGGAATCTCAGGGCTGGCCTGGCAGGGG